CTAAAGAAGATGGAAGGAATACATGTAGGGCTAGGAGCTGTCATGTTTCAGTCTTCACACAATAGTTTCTAATCTCCATCCAGGATACATTCCTTTATATTCCAGCATGTTGGTCACCAGGGTCAGACAGACAGTGCAAATGAGAGATGAGAGTCTTATGAAAGGCACCAAGGAATAGTGAAGACTGTGACAAACTGGAGAAACATGACCTCCATCCAACAGGGCAGTGGCTACCTGTTACCAGCTTGGAAACTGAGAGAACTCAGCCCAATATTGCCAGATAGGTTTTCAAGTGAAGCCAATAATCATGATAGTTTTGATGTGAAAGCTCTCTGGGTTTTTTTACACGGGCAATTAAAACAAAAAACAAAACCTAGAAAGCTACCAAATTGTGTTTGTAGGTGACCACAGTCCTCAGGTTTTGGCCAGAACAAGTGTGTCACTCCTTATTGGATACAACAGCCCAGATTTGATCTGACTAGCACAGAGCAGGAACGATTATTGCCTCCTTCATTCTAAACTAAACCAGAAAAACCAAACTCACTGCCATCAAGTCAATTCCAACTCATAGCAATCTCTTTGGGTTTCTTAGGCGGTCAATCTTTACAGAAGTAAGATTCCCCAGTCTTCTTTCCACGGAGTGGCTGGTGGGTTTGAATCACAAACTTTCTGGTTAGCAGTCAAATGCCTTAGGTACTACACCACCAGAGCTCCTTCATTCTAAACCAGTACAGTAGCCTTCAAATTTAAGTTTATAGCAGAATCACATGAAGGACTAGTTAAAACACAGATGGCTGGGCTCACTCCTGGAGTTTCTGCTTCAGGAGATCTGGGGCTTCCAAGAATTTGCATTTCTAACAAGTTCCAGGAATTGATGACGTACCCATTGAGATATTTAAATAAACTGATGCCGTACTGGAGGCACTTACTCTTCATGCCAAGAAATTTGGAAGACATCTACCTGGCCAACTGACTGGAAGACAGCCATATTTGTACCCATTCCAAAGAAAGGTGATCCAACAATGTGGAAATTATCGAACAATATCATTAATATCACACATAAGTAAAATTTTGCTGAAAATAATTCAAAAACAGTTACAGCAACATATTGACAGGGAACTTCCAGAATTTTAAGCTGGATTCAGAAGAAGATGTGTAACAAGGAATGTATCATTGCTGATGTCAGATAGATCTTGGCTGAAAGCAAAGAATACCACAAAAATGTTTACCTATGTTTCGTTTACTATGCAAAGGTATTCGACTGTGTGGATCATAACAAATTATGGAAAACATTGCAAAGAATGGGAATTCTGGAACACTTGTGCTCATGAAGAACTTGTACATAGACCAAGATGTAGTCACAACAGAACAAGGGGATACTGCATGGTTTAAAATCAGGAAGAGTGTGTGTCAGGGCTGTATCCTTTCACCATACTTATTTGATCTGTTTGCTGAGTAAATAATCTGAGAAGCTGGACTATATCATATAGCAGCATCAGTATTGGATGAACTCATTAACAACCTGAGATATGTAGAAGACACAGCCTTGCTTGTTGAAAGTGAAGCTGTCTTGAAGCACTTACTGATGAAGATCAAAGACTACAGTCTTCAGTATGAATTACACCTCAACATAAAGAAAACAAAAATCCTCACAACTGGACCAATAAGCAACATCACGATAGATGGAGAAAAGATTGAAGTTGTCAGGGATTTCATTTTACTTGGATCTACAATTAACACCCAAGGGAGCAGCAATCAGAAAATCAGACATCATATTATACTGGGAAGATCTGCCTCAAAAGACTAATTCAAAGTGTTACAGAGCAAAGATATGAGCAAAGAAGACAATTGTGCTCCTAACTCAATGGTATTTTCAGTCACTTCATATGCATGTGAAAGGTGGACAGTAAATAAGACTGAAGAAGAGTTTATGCCTTTGAATTGTGGTGTTGAAGAATATTGAAAATACCATGGACTGCCAGAAGAACAAACAAATCTGTCCTGGCAGAAGTGCAGCCAGAATGCTCTTTAGAAGTGAGAGTGGCCAGGCTTCTCACCTACCTTGATCATGTGTCATGGTAAAGTGCAATGTCAATGAAAAAGGGGAGGACCCTCAACAATATGGATTGACATGGTGGTTTCAACAATGGGCTCAAGCATGGCAGAGATTGTGAGGATAGCACAGGGCTGGGCAGCATCTCATTCTGTTGTGCATAGGGTCACTATGAGTTGAAGCCAACTCTACAATACCTGGCAACAAGTTCCCGGGTTTTACAGATGCTGCTGCTTCTGAGGACCACACTTTGAGGACCACAGCTTCAGGTGTGAGCATTCCCTTAAGGCAGGCTGTGTTTGTGGAGCCCCTTCAATCCCTCCAATCACCTACAGTGATCAGCTAAAATTCTCTGACTTTGGGGAGGGCACAAGGAGAAAGCAGTTGGGAGATAGAGCTGGGAAAAGAGCTGTGTGGTCCTTGACAACTCAACATTTACATTGGAGAATCAGAATATTATCTTGGGCAGGTTTATGGCTCTTCCCAGGGCTCAGCTTCCCTGTATTTTTATTTGTTTGGGAGTTTTAATTATTTGCTTGTTTTTAGCAGAGGAATTTTTTTTCAAATGAAATACCACACAGATCCCAGTATATAGAACAGACAGAAGCTTTCCTATACTCGTTAGAGAGTTGGGAGAGGCAAGCCCTTTCTCTCAGCCTCCCTCTTCCCAGGGCAACACTTGAGGTGTCTCCTGAAGAACTGTAGTTTACCCAGTGGAAACCTCTGAACTGATTAAAAAACATTTGCCAGTGAGTCATTCCAACTCCTGGTAATCCCATGTATGCCGGAGTAGAACTGTGCTCCATAAGGATTTCAATGGCTGATTTTTGGAAATTGATCTCTAGGCCTTTTTTCTGAGGCACCTCTGGTGGACTCAAACCTCCAATCTTTTTTGTAACTGAGCATGTTAACTGTTTGCACCAAGCAGAAACACCCCTGCACTGATTAGATGGTCCCTTAAGGAACTTCCAGCTCAACCTCTGTGATTCCTAAGAACCCAGCTAACTGGTTGCAGGCACGTGGCCTGTGTCTCTGCCGTTTCCTTTTCCTCTCTGACCTAGATATCTAGCACACCAACTTTCAGAATTTTCTTCTTGCAACTCAGAGTGGTCTGTAGGAAAGAGAATGCAAAGGATTGTTATTATCATTGGAGCTGTAGTAAGGATATTGAGCTGTTGTGGAAAATCTGCTAACGCAAGGATCAGCCAGAGACTTAATAAACAGTCACGGGGATGGTTTTATTCACGTGTTTTTTTTTTGTTTTTGTTTTGTTTTTTTTAGCGCTGATGCTCCAGCACACTGCATGTTCAGGGCCTTCATAGTTAATTATACAGGAAATGGGACTATTGGATCCTGCATGCCACAGTGGCAAGAACAAGTCTGCAGGATTTTTAATGAGCAAGGTGATCTAAAAACCTGTTCTTATTTAGGTTAGTGCAGAAAATATTTAAATAACTATTTAAATAACCTTGAGGAGTGGTAGTACCTTGGGAAGGATCTAACTCAGCCCACGGGCTAGGTCTGTACACTTGACTGTTGTCTGTGGAAAAGTATCAAATGTGTTCACATAACCCCAGACACTGGAATGCACCCCCCTTTAATTAGAGAAAACACTTCCTAATGGGCCCACAAGGAGGGTTTACCTCCCCAGACACTTAATAAACCCCTCAGAGCTCAACCTCTACTTCATGCTTCCCTTGTGGCTGCTGCATATTCCTTTCCTCATTTAGTCATTCGGTGGCTTGCTTGTACATTCAGCATAGATTTGCCATATGTTCACCCTATTTGGGACCAGGCCCGCAGGCCTGCAGAGGTAGGTTACTGAGACCTGACTTTCTGCCTTGCACTCAGTGCCCCTTCAGGCCAAGACCTGCTTTGCTGGTCTCCACACCTCATATTCTTAGCCCAGGCAGATTGCCCTGCCTGCTGCACATTTCTACTTGTCTGAGGCCCACCCACAGTACACTCGTCCCAATGAAACTCTTTCCAGGTGGAAACAATTTTCATATCACTTTCTCTGGGCCTATCACAGAAGATTCACTTACACTGCCCTGTCCAGCATGGTCCAGCACATTGCCCTAGCCACATGTGCTAGCCCAGACTGAGATGTACTGTCGTAAGTATGTGATACACACTGTTTTCTAAGACTGGTTACCACCTGTGTATCTCAACTGGCAGCCAAATGATGGCCAGACCTATAAGGTGAACAGTAGTATAAGGAGGGTATGCAAACAAAGGGAAGGAGTGGGCCTAGGGAGGAAGTAGGAAGAACGCTATTACAGTGTAGAAATTGTAGTAAGGATGTATATAGATTGTTGAATGGAAAACTAATTTGCTCAGTAAACTTTCACCCAAATCACAAATTACGGAAAAAAAAAAAAACCACAAAAGAAAGAAAGAAGAAAACAAATATACAAAAAAGAGGGGAAAAAAAGACTTGTTATAGAAAAGAAAAAAACCTTGATACTTTTATATTGATTACATGTTGAAATAATAGACTATCGAATATATTGGGTTAAATAAAATATATTATTAAAATTAATTGCATCTGTTTCTTTTTATATTTTTAAAGTGGATACTAGAAAATTATTGGTTACACATGTGGTTTGCATTTGTGGCTTTCATTGTATTTCCTCTGACAGCACTATACTTACCAATATTTTCTTTGGGTAAAAGGGATGTCTGCCCATCTCTTTTCTCACTTGCTGGTTGAGTTCCAGGAAGGTGGGCACTGTGTTCCTGTCATATTTCTAATCTTTGCAACACCTAGCTGGCAGATGGTAGCACTAACCAAGGAATATAGAGTTCATTAAGTGAACTAATAAATGAACAAATAAATTCAATTAATCTAAGAAGTTCCCTTAGGTAGTATAATTTCTAGGTCTGTGTTACTCAGATTTATTTTCCCTTTCTTCTTTTTCATAGTTTTTTCTTTTTTCTTGTTAAGGGCTCACACAGTCGGCAGCAGAAGATCCTTTCCTTGGGTGGTAGGCAGAAGCTGAAGGACTGGCACGACAAGGAGGCCATCAGAAGGGATGCCCAACGCGTAGGTATGGAAGGCAGAATCATCCATGACAGGTCCTATGGAGCTTTTACATGTGCATGTGTGATCTGTGTTTGTGTTTAGCAGGGGTGTCTGGACCTCTACTGCTGCCATACCTTCTCCTGATTCCCAAAACCCTGTCTTTCCCTGGTAGGTGAGTCTTTTGTCCACTCACATCACCAGGTTCCCTGCCTACAGGAAATCTTCCCTGCTACCTTTACTGGGTGATAGAAAAATATCTCCTATTCATGCCGTATTTTACTACTAAAGTGAACAGTAATTATAAAAAGAGCCAACATTTATTGCACACCTGCTGTGAGCAAGGTCCATGCTGTATATTTTGTGCATTTTCTCAGTGAAACCCTACATCAGCCTTCATGGCCCATGTGACAGAGAAGGGATTTGTAGCTCAAGAGGTAGAGTAACCTGCTTATAGTCACACAGTGAGAAAAAGACGGACATGGGATTTGAACCCAGGTCTGGACAGCAAAGTTGATCCCTGATGACCCAGCACCACACACAGCCATGCACAGTCATAGGTTGGATTCATTATGTTGGCTTCGGCTAAAGTTTTCTTTGGCCATTTAGTCTTTTGAGTAGTCCTTCTTGTACTGGGCAGTTGGGAAACATTGAGGTGGATGTGGTGCAGATATAATGTTGAGAATTCTCTTGGGAGAGCATGGATGAGGAGTCAGGAGACCAGCTCTGACACTATTTGCCAGCCAACTTTAGATATGTTCCATACTTTCTGAGCCTTAGTTTCTTCATTTGTTAATAGGGCTTATGCTTCCTACTCTGACAACCTTAGGATGGTGTTTTGAAGGTGACCAAATAAAGTGATGGACATGAAGTAGCTTTGCAGTACTGGAAAGCAATGTAGCAATCAATGCAAGGGAGTGGTATTTTATTCGTTTTTATCTCAGTTAAAGGCCCCCTGTGGCTATTAATTTTTCAAAATTACATGATGACGAAATCAGATTAAAACAAACCTCTGAATAGAGCTGATATAATAACTGATGGGCCAGAGTAGTCTAAAGACATGGCATACATTTTTATGCATGCTAGTGATTTCAAATGAAAGGGGAGGGGTCTGCTTAAATTGAAAAAGGAAACATTTGAAAAGAGCTGATTGGCCAGTTATACCAGAATTGTTAAAACAGTGGTTTTCATCAAGAAAAGAGTAAGCAACAGAGATGTTATTAGTAATGACAGGAACCAGTGTTTGTGGAGCACTGTGTGCCAGGCGTCTTGGTCTGCATTACCTCCTTTTTCATCACATGGATCTTAATTAATGTAAGTGGCAAAACCCAAGACTTAGAAAGGCTAAGGGCGTGCCCAAGATGTCGTAGCTGGGAATCCAAGGGAATATAGGCTGGGCTCCAAACTCTGCTCTTCTTGGCCTTAGCACCTGAACTCCTCTGTACTGCCCGCCTTAATCTTCCCTTCTGCTCTTTTTGTGACTCTCCCAGAATCAGTACCAGGTACTAGCCAGCAGTGTGTTATCATGGAGCACTACAAGTTATTGACGCTGGGGTTCCCTCCTTCATCTGGCTGAATTGAGAAAGCTTCAATCTTTGGGGTCCTCCTCTTAGCTTACACTTTGCTGTCAAGATGATGTTGTCAACATTTACTTTCCAAATAAAGTGGAGGTGTTTCTCAGACCACAAGGTCTGGAAGATGCACTTATTTTTTATTATTGTAAAATAATACATATGACAAAACATTTGCCAAACTCAGTGTTTTTTACATCTACAATTCAGTACCATTGATTACGTTCATCATGTTATTCAACCATCACCACTATTCATTTCCAAATTTTTCGATCACCATTAACAAAGAAGCTCAGTGTCCCCTAAGCGATAACTCCTTTTTCCCTCCCCTTCTGTCCTGGTAACCTCTAGTAGACTTTGTTCTGTATACATTTCCCTATTCTAGATATTTCATAGACAAGGGATCATATACTATCTGTCATTTTGGACTTAGTTATTTCTCTCAGGTTCATGTATATTGTAACGTGGATCAGGAATTCATTTTTGTTTTATGGCTGAATCATATTCAAAGATGCAGTTTTTAATCAGATGGTTTCATTGCCATTTCTTCAACACCTTGGCTAATGGCAGGAGTTAGTATGAACATTATCACTCATTATATTTACCCTGGGAATCCTGAGAATAAGATCCTGGAGATCAGGGACTCATTTCCCACACGGACTGTGCAGAGAGAGAAAAGTGAGCACTTTATGCATCCATATCCATGTCTCAGAGCAGTACTTCTCAGGCAGTCCTGTCCTTGGCTAGGCAGATCCTAATTTGCTTGCTTAAAAACCAAAGCATCTTTTAGCATTTGTGGCAGTTTTGATTGAAGTACAAATTTTTCCTTACTTGGAGAGTAATTATAATATTTCTTCATATCTATATAGTGTTTCATAAATTACAAAAAGCTTTCATGCACAACCTCTCACTTCACTCTTCCAAACATGCTGTGTGAGTATCAGAGGGAAACAAGCTGTAGCTTCAGGAGGTAGCTGACTTGCCCAAGGTTGATCCGTTCATCTATGGTAGACTGGGCTTTCTGTCCAGGTGATCAGCCTCCACAGACAGGGCTGTCTGGGGCTCCTGGTAGAGTGGAGGAAGCATGGACTTTGGAACCCACAGTTTTGGCTTGACAACCTTTCCAAGTCTCAGGTTATCCATCTGTAGAATGCAAGTTCTAATATCCACCATACAGAGTTGATGTGGAGATTACATAAGAATTAAGTGCATGAAGTGCCCAACAGCAGCATCTCAAATAATAGTCATTCCCCCTGAAAACTCTCTATATCTAGGGAGCTCTGGTGGCATAGTGCCTAAGGCATTTGACTGCTAACCAGAAAGCTGGTGGTTCAAACCCACCAGCCACTCCTCAGAAGGAAGATTGGGCAATCTACTTCCAGAGTGATACTGCCTCAGAAACCCAAGGAGGGGTTGCTATGAGTCGCATCCAACTCAACAGCAGTACGTTGCATTTTTTTGTTTGCTCTGTATCTAAATACAAAATTCTATCTTGCAATGTAATCATGTTTTTCATCCATCTTCCCCTACCCCATACACAGTATTCTCATGTATGCTATGACATTAGCAATATAGAATTTTCTCTTTGATTCCAGGAAATGGAGAACAAGGAAGACCTTATCCCATGACTGATGCTGACAGAGTGGACCAGGCATACCGAGAAAATGGATTTAACATCTACGTCAGTGATAAAATCTCCCTGAATCGCTCTCTTCCTGACATCCGACACCCAAAGTAGGTCTAACATCTCTCATCTTCTGGGATCTAAGGCCTTTGCCCCTGGCTTTTGTTGAGAATTGAAGAAGTCAGTACATGAAGTCCTGCTGGAGAAGAGTGATTCTCTCCTGTTATGCAGGGACTTTATACAAAAGCCCACGAGATCACTTCTAGAATTCAGAGCTGGTGTGTTGAGGACATGATGTCTCCTCTGAAGAGCCATTACCTCTCTGTTTGCTGGCATTGGGAACCATGTGACCTCTGCATTTTCCCTTTTTGCTCTGACCCACAAGAAAGTTCAGACTTAAATTTAGAGGGCAATTGTAGTGACAGTTCCAACTTTCACTCTGTCGACTTTCTCTGTGTGATATTGTCATTTCTTTTTTTAAAAAAATCTTTATTGTAGCTATCCCGTGTGCCTAAATATTTATCTCCTTATTATAAGCTTTCTCAAAGCATTTTGAGAGAGGACATGTAATGGTAAAAATGATGACAACAGCAACTAACATTCTTTGAACATGTAGTATGTGTGAAGAACTTCTTATGCATCATCTCAGTTAATTCTCTCAAGTTTCCTGTAAGGTCAGTACTATAATAATACCCACCTTACAGATGTGGAAGCTGAGGCTTAAAGGAGTTTTGTTATTTGCTTAAGGTCACACAGTAAATAAAAAGCTGAGTCAGTCTTAGACACTAGTTCAACCAAAAACTATACTCTGGACTTTATCTGGCCACCATGTTCATATGAAATCAAGGTTGTTGTAGTAATGATGGTGATTTTCTAGAAGAGCAATAATTTGCAAACTTTATGGACTTTAGAATCACCTGGAGAACTGTTAAAACACAGGGTATTGGGCCTCACTCCCATAGTTCCTGATTCAGCAGGTCTGGAATGAGGACTGAGAGCCTGCATTTGGAACAAGCTCCCAGGTGATGCTCATGCTGCTGATCTTGGAGCTATGCTTTCAGAAGGACTACAGTAGGAGATTTCAAAATCATTTTTACATGAAAGCAGTACTAAGTAGCCATTTGTGGGTAAAGTGCCTTGCACATGGACTAAGAAAGCTTCTTGTTGTTGTTGTTATGTGCCGTCGAGTCAGACCGAACTCATAGCGACCTCTCCTTGGGTTTCCAAGGCAGTATCACTACGGAAGTAGATTGCCCAGCCTTCCTTCTGAGGAGTGGCTGGTGGGTTTGAACCACCAGCCTTCTGGTTAGCAGTCAAGTGCCTTAGGCACTACGCTGCAGAGCCCCAAA